ATTTGGATGAAGAAGTATTAAAATAGCTTAATATCTTTAAATATAGGATTATTCAATATCTCATTTTGTAGAATGATAACGATGATGTCTTAGAGATAAATGAACAACTACGTCGCCTTGAGACGCTTGCCATAATTGATCCCTATGAGGTCAATTCAGAATGGTCGAAATTTGTATACCATTCAAATCTGATTAAAATGGTTATTGCATTATTTAAGACAGATATGCCGGCAGCATGCTTGATTTGGAAACGACACACTTCTGCTTTGATACCCCATTTGAATGAGAAAGAAATTTGTCAACTTCTCAGTTTAATACCGAGTCATATTGAACCCTTCAACATAGTGCAATGGCTGCGACAATTCGTGCCCACTGTCAGTAAGACGCATCCAAAATTAATGCCATACTTTGCCGAATGGAGTATACAAAAAACGAGAACATTGCAATACGCTGAACATTGGCCAGAAATTGGGTTGGAATTTGCAACCAAAGTGGCAGAGATATTCGAGGAAATACGTTTTATGCATTGGTGAGTCTGGTATAAAGATCGGATTGAGCAGACAGGATGTTCAATATTAATTACTGCCTATCTATTTAATACTGTATCAAAATATTTTACTGTCCTCTCAGCGATGTACGCCGTCAGCATGACCGCAATATTGCTAAATTGCACGATCTCGTTAATGCGCTTCAGGACCTGTCCGTTCTGAAAAAACGTTACAACCTAATATTCACGCTGGATAATTATCTAAAGGATTCAATCGACGAAACAGCGCTCTGCATCTTGCAACGCGTTCATTTGGATAATTTGAAAAGTCTTGTATATGATTTTCTTTATCCTATTTTTCAAGAGAAGGGCAAAACGCCAGTGAAGGCTTTACGTCAATATATTTCGCTTTTGGTAGTTAATCGCAATTCACTGAGCACTTGGTTAGGGCGCTCTGTAGCCTGCATTGATTTGCTGCACAACGAAGACGATCGACTCGAATGCGCGCTGCTGGTTTTGCAGGTATAAACCTTTGTTACTAATAAAAATTCCAAAGAAAATAACTAAACTAAAATAACTATTAACTTTCAGCGTGCACCAGTGCCCTGGCCGGAAATATCAAATCCGCTTATAAAATTGCGCTACTCCACACATCCACTCGCATTGAAAATTAATACAGAATATGAGATACAAGTTATAAAAATTATGAAAGTCAAATACGGCTGGCCAGCAGATAGTAATACAGACATTAGTTTGCCACTTTTTATGCTACGCGTCGTTAAAATGCAACTGCCCGATATGTTGGATGATATACGTTTGCTGACCAAAGCTGCGCCAGAAGTGGCAACAAGCGCCAGTTTTACTTGTTGTCATGAGCTAGTGCGCAGCAACAAACCTGAACTTGCTTATGAATATTTCAAATTGCTCAGAGATGATAAGAACATGAAGGCGTGCATGAAGGTCATTGAAACTTACGCGGTATGCTTGGCAAATTTCAAACAACCGTTTAAAATTTGTTTTAAAATATTCGTAATTTTGTACTTTTACATAGGATATGCTAGAGAACTGCGCGCCGCCAACTGACGACAAAGACATGGAAGAACAAAAAAATATGTTGGAATTTTTCAAATTAATTGTGCCGCATGCTGCTTGCCGCAGTGTTGAACAACAAATGCACGCCATACAGCAACGTTTCGTGCTGTGTCACAAGTTTCGCTTGCACGTAAGCACCGTCAGTGAATTTGTGCCGCTCTCCCAACGGTTGCAATTACTCGATCGTGGATTTGAATGCGTAATGGATCAAAGCCAAGCAACAGTAAATGTGCCGCG